GGTGTTAATTTTTAAAAAAAATTATGAGTTAAAGGTAAGAGAAAGGCTTCTCATTAGAAAAAGTTAGTAAGGATAACAGCATAATTCATTCTAATTAAACAAAACCTGACAGTTGGCTTAGGGTGAGGAATTCTAAAATAATCTAACAAAGATTAGCTTGAACTATCAGCTAATTGGTATACATATTATTAAAAAAATTGATATGCAACAAATTTTATATGATCTATGCTTACGTGAAAAGCCGAGGAAGACGTTGTAAGGCTAGTGTTCGTCCTATATTCAAATATCTATATGATAACATAGATAGAAGAATAAGTGATTCCAAGTCGTATTTTTAACTAAGATCCAAAGATCGTTGAATGCAATAAGCAAAGTGCATGGAAACAAACAAGATGAAAAACAATATTAACCTAGATGCAAATCCAGAAACCAAATAAGCGCCGAGAATGGGATAGAATTTCAATTAATTTAATTCATGCTTTCGTGCCATGTTAGGTTTGTGGCATTATAAATAAAATCGCCAATAATACTAATGTGAAGATAGGGATAAGAAAGAAGATATCAGGCCATTCATAACGGCGAAAAGTGGATAGCTTGACAATTGTTCGAAAAGATAAAAAATAAGACTTTCAATGGAATATACTAAACATTATAATTCAAACGTGCTTTGCGATCTAGCATAGATTGCCAGTGAATATGACAGAAGAAAGAATCTTTTTATGACATTTAATGATGTAGAGAAGACTTATTAATAATATCCAAAATTGATACAAAAAATATCCAAGGACAAATCAAAGTAAATTTCCATTATTCATCTGAAAGTCTTTTCGAAATCCTAATCTAACAATGCATTTACAGCTCATAATTCACTATAAATAAAGGTATATATATATGTGTAAGAAAATATAAGCGAAAGCAAAAAAGCTATCAAAAAGTAAGAAAAAATCAATGATATATGAAGATCAGGATATTGTGGCTCCTATTTCGGTCGCAGTCTCCATTAAATTTATATGTTGGCTGATCTCACTTTCGTAATTTGATCGTGATGTCAGAGCGACTTAGTTTGCTGCACTTTGTCTGTAGTCCTCTGTTATAGTAATTATCATAATTCCCAATGTCGTACCGTGGATCTGGCGCATTCATAGACGTTTCTCCTACATCATTGACGAGCAAAGGCTAGGCAAATGAATTGACTTCATTTTACGTGTTTTAGCTTGATGCTGAGAGTGACAAGACTCACTGACGATGCCGGCGAAGCGTCTGAGAATGCGCCAAGTCCATTGTCCGAGACAGAGGACTACGGACAAGGTGAGCCTAACCTAGTCGCCCTGGCATCACGATCAAGTTGCGAAAGCGAAACCAGACCACTTCTAAAAATATATGAGCAAGTAAGAAAACTCTAGCTAAGAGGAAGCAAATAATTGAATTTTCCTTTTTTCATTGCTTGGCCAAACGGCCTCAGAAATTGTAAGATGCACGCGAATATGCAGGTGGTCTTAATCACTACAGAAAATAGTTTGCTGGCTAAAAAATGTATAGAAATTGTTAATGGAGACATTGAATTTCACAGAATAATCCACTTATTCAGCAATGATTCATATATAATAAAGAAAGAGTAAGGAGAAAAATACAAGTATGAAAACGGAAACTGATTAACCTTTCTATTGGTTTTGATTTCAAAGTACTGGAATCAATGATAAAAATAGCCAAAAGCCGGTGACGGAGGGGCACAGAATCAGAGCCAGCTGAATTTTCGATGGCTATACTAGCTGATAGAGGCTCCCCTGCAAGCGACCACATAGAGGACTCGGTCACGCTAGGGAAGGCGGAAAAACGTTCGCGAACGAGCCAATTCTGAAGTGGCGTTTGATCATCTAAGCAAAAATAAAGGTTGGCGGCAAAATATAATAACCTCAAAAGTAATAAATTAATAATTGCAGCATGAAATTAAAGTGT